ACTGAAGCCTGTGCAGATCATTCTACTTTCACAAATTTGTTACACGATAGCACTAACTAAGTCAACCTACCCTTCATTTGCTTCTCTATTATTTTGTCAATCCCTTCCGATCTATACTGATCTAAAGCAAGATAGAAACAAGCACCTTTTAACTTTAAGGTAAAACCTTCAGTGGTTTCGTCATAAGGACTCAGAGCAAAAGTAATAATCACAAAAGTTAGATTTTTACCTTCAATATTCTTATAGGTGCAGTGGTGCCAGTCACTCCTGTGCACACTTGGAGGGTCTTGTGTTGAAGGACGTGTCTACATTGCCTGATATCTGACTGATGAGAGAAACTAGGGTGTAATGATAGTACCCTTTTTATGATTTGATTTCATCTGTGTCTCCAAACTCTTTTGAGACCAATTGAGGAAACACTTCAGAAGAGAAAGCCAATGATGAATTGTTGAGCTGCTTTATTTTGCAGTTAATAAATATACAGAGCAAAGTGATTGGACTCAATGACTTCAATAAGCATAACACTTGCACACATAATACAAAATGAAAGAGTTTACTTCACTTCCCCACTTCACTGGGTCAGTTAGCTTGATTCAATCTAAATCCTAACTAACCTACTCTCTCTCTCTGGGCCTGGCTAAAGCTTGTTATCTTTGTCTTCTGTTAAAACAAGTGACAGACAATTTGTGCGCCTCACTCAAATTTTATAACCCTGTGCTCACTTCCAAAAGGCAGGGCCTGCCAAACACTTGGATTTGGAGACTTGCAAACACAGCCTGTCAGAACTTTGTACTGAATAAGCTAAGACAAACTGGTTTATTTTTGTCAAAGCCAAACTGATGAGCATTTTTGCCCCTCCTACTTTGTTCAAAATATATTTTAAAAATTGTGTCCATCCCCACTTTGTATTAAAAAGCCAAAATTTAAAATGAACTCCTTTCTCAGATCCTTTCTGTGAATAAAATGATCCAAAAATCCCAATGAGACTGTACGAAGAGCCAGTGAAACATTGGGGGTGGTTGAAGGAGACAGCCTGAGATAGAATTCCCATGTCAGAACTACAATAGAAATCCTACCTCAAAAGATTGCACTGTGTTACACTTTGATAATTGAAATCAACAGAAGATTGTCAAGATTACTCATTTCCTCTCTACCTTCTAAATTACGCTCAAGCATGGGATCTGTTGGTTGTGGTTCAGTTTTAAGAGACAGAAATGTTGATTACTTACTGTCTGTTAACATCTTGAAGCAGACTGTCAGAAACAAAAGACTGTCTGAGAACCTGTATAACTAGATTCATGGAACTATGGTACTAGTGTGTCATCAGAATTCCTTATAGATTTACAGTAGTGCCTGTTGTCATGTATCCAGGCCAAGTTTTGAAGTTGGATATTTTTGTTCAAGAAGTAATCTTCAACGTCTTTTTCTTGTACATCTGCCAAGGAAGTAAACAGACCAGTCACTCTTGGATAAACAGCTAAACTTTTTTTAGAGCAAAAGAAATGGTCTGAAGATATTCTTAGACAAGAGCATCGATGGCTTCACATATATCATAAGAAAATGCACTGTCCAAGTATGGTACTGCTAACCTCAACAACTGGAAGATCTGCCAATAGCATTAAACCTTGCCAACTGACAGCATTTTTGAAGTTTATGACTCATGGTATAAACCATGGAAAATATTAAACCTTTTTTTAAAACTTTTGACACCAGTTATTCATCCATTTTCCGCTCCTTTATTTCTGTAGGCTCTGAGTTAGGAACACAGTGAAAACTACAGCCTGCACACTGTCTGTCTGTCTGTCACTCCGAATCTGCTGTGCGGCATGTAAGGTCATTGGTGTGTAGGTCTCTTGGAAGAGATGTTTACACCTGACAGCTGGTTCTGTGAGCCACATCTTTGAGTAGATTTTCTACCTCCATTCCCTTCTTCAATTGCTAGTGTATGGGCCTTACTAGTATTAAATGGTGAAGAATTGACCACTAATGTATCTTCAGCAGAAGAGGCACAAACTTGAGTAACAATTACTTGTTACATTAGCTTAAGACTGATTATTTGTATTAACAATAAAGAAGGGACTTTGTTATCTCCTCAAAGATACAGACTATATCTATGCTACATGACTGTAGAATTGAGAATCAACAAACTAAAACAATAATTCCTTCCAAGGACAGTCATTTATCTTTCAGTGTGCAGAGCTACTCCCTGTTAAGTCCTTTCAGGCCAGCTGTTTTGTACAAGTTCCACAAGGGTAGGATGAAAATCTTTCAAATTCAGCTCAACTGGCACAAGTGCAGGAAATTCCCAGCTTGTCTCGACTCTCATCATGGAATTTCTTCTGGCTCCAACTTGAAGTGCCATCTTATTTGCGGGGGGTACTTGATTTTCATAGCAACTCACCAACGTTGATGTGTAGGAATTGGTTCATTTCTCTCCACCTGGATGGGAAAATATGGAAAACAATTGGAAGAAATGATGTGAGCAATTAGATGAGTTACATTAGTGACTAAAAACAAGGCTTAGCTTCCTATGTTTTCTACAATGGGCCGAATGGCCTCCTGATTCATAACAGTTCTGTGACTGATTGTCGCACTAGGTGTAAGATGGATGAAAAATGTTGCCTGGCAGTAGTGTAGCACAACTAACGGTGGTCTTAATAGTTTGGGTCAAATCAAATGAAGAGACCTTGGAATTCAGGTTCATAGTTCCTTGAAAATGGAGTTGCAGGTAGACAAGGTAATGAAGAAGACATTTGGTACGCTTGCCTTTATTGGTCAGTGTATAGAGAATAGGAGTTGGGAGGTGATGTTGTGGATGTACAGGACATTGGTTACACCACTTTTGGAATACTGCACTCAGTTCTGGTCTCCCTGGTACAGGAAAGATGTTAAACTTGAAAGGATGCAGTGAAGATTTACAGGGATGTTGCTAAAGTTGGAGGGTTTGAGCTGCAGGGAGAGCCTGAATGGGCTCGGGCTATTTTCTGTGAAGCGCCAGAGGCTGAGTGGTGACCTAATGGAGGTTTATAAGATCATGAGGGCATGGATAGGGTAAATAGTCAAGGTCTTTTCCCCAAGGTAGGGGAGTCCAAAACTAGAGGGCATAGGTTTAAGGTGAGACAGGAAAGATTTAAAAGTGACCTAAGGGGCAATTTTTTCACACAGAGGGTGGTGTGTGTATGGAATGAGCTGCCAGAGGAAGTGGTGGAGGCTGATACAATAACAACATTTAAAGGGCATCCGGATGGGTACATGAATAGGAAGGGTTTAAAGGGATATGGGCCAAATGCTGGCAAATGGGACTAGATTTATTTCGGGTATCTGGTTGTCATGTACAAGTTGGACCGAAGGGTCTGTTTCGGTGTTGTACAGCTCTATGGCTCTGAATGATTTTTATCATTTGAGGTTTCATTTTAAACAAGAAGCCCTTTGGCAACTGAAGCTGGACATCATCTGAGATTGTTTCTTAATCACTGTATGTCCCCAGTGCATGAGGGCTCTGACCCTTCATCTAGGATTTTTAGTTAAAGGTTGTTTTCATTGGGACAAAGTCTAATGACCCCTTCATTTTGCTAAATCCCCGCGAA